TCTGGGCATATTCAGTATGTGTCGGGGTGGTTTTCAAAAATGTGGGGTTGGGGGTTGTCAACCTTCTGACCGTTTTGACCCCCAACCCTTCGTTTTGACCCCCAAACCCCCACCCACCGTTTTGAGCCCTGACCCACCCTTTTTACCCCCAACCGTTCTAACCCCYATGCCAYCGTTTTGACCCCCCAYGTTACAATTTTGACCCCCAACCCACCACCTACCATTTTGACCACCGAACCACCATTTTGACCCCCAACCCATCGTTTTGACCCCAAGCCCCCCAACAACCAACCTGACTACCCCACTTGCTTATATTCACTATGTGTCAGGGCCGTTTTAAAAAATGTGGGGTTGGGGGTTGTCAATGTCTTTTTGATTCGTCTATGTGTGAGGGACTGTCATTTTTGTTTTCTTTCTTACTACTTATTCTTCTTCTTACCCTCTCTCTCCTTTCAAGTTTCTTCATTTCATTTTGCAAGTTTCTTCATCGGGGGTGGCCCCCAACAACCAACCTGACTACCCCGCCTGCTGATATTCACTATGTATCGGGGCGGTTTTAAGAAAATGTGAGGTTGGGGGTTGTCAATGTATTTTTAATTCATCTATGTTTGAGGGACTGTTATTTTTTTTTCTTTCTTATTTCTTCTTTTTCTTCTTACTCTCTCTCGTGTTTCAAGTTTCTTCATTTCGTTTTGCAAGTTTCTTCATCGGGGGTGGTTTTAAAAAATGTTGGGTTAATGGGGGTGAATAAAATGGGGATTTTGTATGTTTGATTCAGACATCCATAGGTGCAAAATGTCATGAGTAATACATGTTATTAGCAAACATGAAAAACATAGTCCACATGTTCTTAGCATACATCAGGGTACATGAAAAACAAAGTTCACATGAATGTTATGACATGAAAAGCAAAGTTCACATGAGTCCACAAGAACTACATGACTGTTATGATATACAAAATAACCAAGGATCGTGTACAAAAATCGTCGTCTAGATGTCAACCACGTACGTGTCCGAGTCTACCAAACTACCAATGAACTCCAAGTGTCTCTAATGTACAGAACCTACGACGATCTTTCTACACACTAATACACTATACAATGAAGACTACAAACAAACCTAATGACAAAGAAGTAAACTCTAAACATGCATACAACAGAGCAAGCCCACTCGTCCCTAGAACTGGCCGGCACCACGACCACCACCGCGGCCCGCCGATCGAGGACCATGCATGGCCGATCGTGCCGAAGAAGTCGCTCTCCTCTCTCTCTCTCTCCGCCTCGCCACGTCAATAGACTCCTCCTCGGTGTCTGCGTCGACGTCTCCCGTAGTGCCCGCAAGACTCGCCAATGCCGAAGCCTCTCTCAACGCCGCAGTCTCTGCCTCGTGGGCTGCTATACGAGCCCCTATCTCCGCCAATGACTCATGACGTCTCTCCCCCACGCGCATAGGCAAAGCCTCCTCGCCAAAGGTGTACGCCCCGCTCTACATTCCGGCCTCTGGGGCGGCTGGTATGCGGAGATCTCTCATCCTCCTCGGAAGTCCCACTCCCAAAATGCGACACGCGGTGCCTATACCGGGTCCGCCACCACTACCCCCGCTATCACCCTCGGCCCGTCCTCCCTCCTCTCCCTCTCTCTCTGCCATGGCTCTCTCTTGTGCCTCTCTCTCTACCCTCTGTCTCTCYTCTCGGCGTCGTGCCTCAGCTCCARCAACCTCTSTCCTAARCTTCCCATCCACTCTTCGCACACTCGACCAAGGACGGTGGTCAGACTGCCGGATATCCTKCCGTGAAGGTGCCATAGAGGCAGGCAAGTGTCCTCTCCCAACAACACTCCCTGGTGTCGGACGCCGCGCAACTGTCTGTGCGCTAGGCGTGGCCGRGACTGAACGTCCTGACCTCTCCTCCTCGTGTCMAGCTACCACCTGCGTGTCCGMGACWAAACGTCCCGACCTCTCCTCCTCGTGTCCCGCCCTCTCCTCCTCGTCTCCAGCTACGACCTGCGTGTCCRAGACCGAACGTCCYGCCCTCTCCTCCTCCYCGTGTCCCATCGCGTCCTCCTCCTGTCCCGCYCTCTCCTCCTCRTCTCCAGCTACGACCWGCGTGTYCGAGACCGAACGTCCCRCCCTCTCCTCCTCCTCGTGTCCCATYGCGTCCTCCTCCTGTCCYGCCCTCTCCTCCTCGTGTCCAGGTAACACYTGCTCTACCTCCGCACCTGCAGGTGCCATAAGTCCCAGTATAATGTCATGCACAATATCCGACTCCGAGTCCATCGTGCCTGAACCACTTGCAGGCGACCCGCATGGTACAGGAGGCGYTGCTGACACACATGGAAYATCAGYATRTCYCGTAACGGTCGRGGATGGCGAGAGAGTGGCATGGTGTGTCGTAGCACTAGGCGATGAAGACACAAGTGGATCATCAGCACGGCCCCCACCCGAAGGYTGCAGGGCAGCATCCGGTCCAATCAAACCCTYTGCGYTGTCGWCATCRCCACCTGSACCAATGGTYTCCARCCGTCTCCTGCGCTCCGCCTCCGCCAGAAAAGCCACCCTCCCCGCCCAYTGCATCYGAGACAAACGACTCTCCTCCTCGRCGTCAATGCGYGCGTCACGCTCTGCCTCRGTCTCCTCCCTCGGCRTGTCACGGGGACAGTAGTCCGCCATGTCTCCCACTCGAACGTGYTGAYGTCTGCCAATGCCGAATCCGRACGTGCCCTCCCCACCCACCATGAAGTCCCTCGTCCGCAAGTCGAAAGGCATGTCCTGTGATGTGTGTGTGTGAATAGGAGTGCGCTGCTCAGACTGCTCACCCTCCACCGTGTCGCACTSTATCTCCTCTAGGTGYTGCGAACAACCGGTCTKTGTCTGCGGGGCTGTGYTGTCAYGGCCAACCAGCCTCTCCGACCGTCTACGAGGCTGARCGTYTCTCCCCATCTCAGGCRCCGRCATCCCTGCTGCCTGCTCATCCTCCACTGCCTGSTCATCRTCRGTGYTGTCAACACCAAACACCCTCCTCGGYTGTGTGGCACCTYCGGTRCCCCTCGTGCCCGCGCCACGTCCGGTGCCATGATGTGTGTCAGATGTGYCGCGCGGMGGRTCATCGTCTGCTCTGATGAGCGTGGTATGAGGTCGTGCTGTGCTGCTATGTCCTCCCTGTGCAAAGTAGACTCTCTCTAGCGTCTTGTCTGCACGACATGCGATCTCCTCGGGGTCGGTCCAGTCCTCATCGCCATCAATGGCGTCGCGAGCCGCGTCATCCACAACCTCCTCCTCGGGCACCTCCGCCTCGTACGGGAGGAGAACCGCGACTCTCGCACCAAACACCTCTGACACTGGACGAGGCCGACGAGTACCTCCCCATACCAAAGGCTCGGGCTCGTCCTCACCCTCTACCTCATCCAGGGCGTCCAAGTGTCCCCACGGAAGAACGTAACCGGTAGATGACTCGGAACACTCCAACAGTTTGAGATTGGTGGCAAACTCAACCAGCTGAGCGACCTTCGTGAACTCTAACCTGTTACGCCTAGCCGTGCACATGCGCTCATGTTCTGCCCAGTTCCTCTCTGCGGGAGAGGCGAACGTCCACATGTGCAGCACCCGCGCTGCAATCTCCTGAAGATCGGGGTATGCGCCTCCATGCTCCTGCCACCAAGCAGCACACCCCGGTGTCTCGTCGTCCCCTCTGCATGCCTGCGCCTCTGCGTCCCTCTTGGCAGGGTCAGTCAACATAGGACCCATACGTGCGTGAAACAGTCTCATTTGCTCACGCGTGCGCAAGTACCGAGCGCCTGCCCGATCTCCCCCCGTCTGGGCAAGGAAGAAGTTGTCGCACTCCTGCACAACCTCCAAATCCTCTGCTGTCCTCACCCTCGCGTCGTACTACCAAAGATGACGCCTACGAGAGTTGAGGAAATGCGCCACGGCGTGCGCCAGCTCCAGCATATGCTGGCGACGGGCGAGGACCTGCTCGATGCAATCATCGAGTATCTCAGAGGGGATCCTATCTCCATCCTGCAAGCGTCGTAACTCATCCACCACACGACGACTCCAAGAAAAAAACAGGGACATAACCATCCCGCCCCTATCCGACTTCCTGAGCAACTGGTAGATCGGAGGCATCACCAGAATGCCATACTCCACATCCCGCCAAAACAATCCATCGCGGATAGTCTGGCGCACCCACACCGCCTGGTCGACCAATCGAGACTCCCAGGGAATATTGTCCCAAGCCTCATCGTGCAGCATCGACTCAAGCGCGTCTCCGCGCTCCTTTAGGCAAAGGAGCATCATAAACACAGACGCGAATCTCGTCTCCACAGGCTGAACAAAGGATTTGCGCTTGCTCTTTGACCTGATAAGGTGAAGAGCAGCGCCGTGCATCTTGATAAACCGCACCAAGGCCCTTCCACGAAGAATGGCCGAGGAAATGCAGTCTACCCGGGTCCCTATGTCTGACAACATCAAGTTGCAGACATGGGTGGCGCATGGGAGCCACGTGATACGACGCAGCTCGGGGTCAACGTCCTTTGCAAGGAGCTTTGCGGCCGACGTGTAGTTGGACGCAGAGTCCGTGCAGATCGCCAACAAATTACTAGGAGGGAAGGACTTAAAAATGGTCTTCCATCTCCTCAACACTATCTCCCCCGTCTCAGGAACGAAAGCATCTCGACACACGGTGGCATAGAGAAGCGCGCCATGCTTGCCAGCGACAAGGAAGTTAATGATGGGCCGCAAATCTCTGGACCTCCTGCCATCTGTCAAGATGCTCGGACATGCGCGAGCCTGGTAGCGGCCTCATCGCGCTTCTTAATAACCCCCTTCCCCCCAATCTCCTTGTGACTAGGATACACCATCCATACTCCACGTGGCAACTCAACCACAGCCTTGCGGTGTCTCCTCCAATAGCTCCTCCGGAAAGCACGAAACGGGATCCCCGCCTCATACACCCACTCCAAAAACGTGCTCCTCGTCCGCTGTTGAGCATCACCATCATACACCTCGTCGATAGTCGTTTGTCTAGGTCTCTTGTGCCTCTCCGCAGGAATATCATCGTCCACCTCATCGACGTGCATCTTCCCTCTTGCTCTCTCTCTCTGCCCAGCATCTCGGGATCCACCTCCCGTGCCACACGCAGTCATCACGACCTCCTCCCCCCTCAAATGCGGGGGACTCGACCCACCACCCTCCACTCCCACCTCCGCAGTGCCTCGCGTGGCATCGGCCTCTCGCCTCGCCTCCCGGTCCAAAAACGCCTCCACCTCGTCCACAGCGTCCATCATATCGTCATCTTGGTCCGCACCGAACCCTCCACCTGGCTGCCTCCTCTGGGTGCCCCTCCCCGACAAAGATCGCGTGTCAGCTATGCCCATCTCCTCCATATAACGTAGGATACCCTCCTCGTGACGCGGGTCAAACTTGTACCGCGTCTTGTTCCATATGTCCGCCAGAGCGGACAGCGGTGCCTGCTTGCACTTCTTAGGCTGCGTGAAGTGTCGCGCTGTGTTGGTCTGGTTTCCCTGGTAAATCACCTTGCAGTAGTTGCAGCGCAACTTGTGGTCGTCGTGCATCTTCTCCCATGTCCCCACCAGCTGTCCTTGCGTGACATGCTTCCAGATGGCTGATTTGGATCGCAACGACACCATGGTAGCATCGGACGCCGGTTTGAACTCATTCCCCCAGATCCCCCTGCAGCCCCAGAAGCCATGGTCGGCTGCAGACCCTCTGTTATCCGTTCCTGTCCTCAACAACGCTGTGAAGGAAGCCGTCCAAACGAAGTCCCCGTCGTCATCGTGCCGAGTGTCCGTGGACGCAGGACCTGCAGGCCACGAGTACGAAATCCGTAAACAAGGAGGGGTTTTCTAAAAAAAAAAAAAAAAAAGTGTGGCAGTGCATATTTCGAGGTTGTAGCGGTAGAATCAATCAATCAATTAGTCAATCAATGAAATCAATCAATCAATCAATCAATCAATCAATCAAGATCAAGATCTTCATTGATTCCATGACTGCTTGATTGATTGATTAACTGTTTGGTTTTTTCGTTTTTTTTCGTGTTTTTTTTTTTTTTTTTTTTCCCGTATTTTCCCT